ATATAAAGTCGTAATTTTACGAGAATAAAGTTGTAATATTACAAGATTAAAGTTATAATTTTACAAGAACAAAGTCATATTATTACAAGATTAAAGTCGTAATATTACAAGATTAAAGTCGTAACATTACGAGATTAAAGTCGTAACATTATGAGCGAAGTCATAATCATGACGTGTCTATTTCCCGTTCCTCATTTCCTGCTTATTTTCCTCACACCTGCTGTCAGCCATGTGTCTGTGTTTATAAAGTAGTCTGTGATGTCTCGTCACTGTTAGATTAATATGCTTTCATCCAAATTAGCTACGTGACGACTCAATCTGTCAATGCATCCATTAATTACAATACAGCTTCAGTTTATAGTCGTTTGCACAATCTCCAAGTCCTGATACAGATAATTTGAGGTTAATGTGCTAAAAGATGAACTATTTATTTATAGCAATACTAAAGAACAACTTGACAAGTTGCTCAACATTCCTCATTTTAATGCAGTGATAACTGCATGATTTTTCATTTGAAGACTACAATATTACGACTTTAAACTTGTAATATTATGTCTTTAGTTTATATGACTTTAATGTTGTAATACTATGACTTTATTCTCGTAATAAAAAAGATCTCGTTGTGTGGCCCTAATACTCCGTCGAATAATTCTGACCTCTTATTGCTCATTTTTTACTGGAGATTTGTTATTTATAATCAACCACTTTAACATAAAGCAAACCTTACAACAGTATAAAACACATGCTGTAGTTTTAGTTCTATTATATTTGAAAGTGAATTGGTTCTTTTATAAAAAAAAAACACTGCTGCCACTGACATTACTGAATGAAGGCTCTAGGCAAAAAAAATCCCACGTTTTTAAAAGATTTTTGGCTGCATTTGTTCCAAAAATTAAACAAATAACTTTAAAAGTTTTACTTTTCCTTCAATATTTTTATTATTTACTAAGTTAATCACGTTTGGTTTTACATTTATTTTAAATCTTTTATACGTCATATAAATTAATCTGAAGAGATGAAACTAAATGTGAAGTGTCACTGAAAAGTATTTGTTTAATAAAATCCAGTAAATCTGACCAAGTAAGAGAGTTTGTTTTGTCTATATCGGCCTAAAATATATATTTTTATTTGATGTTAAATAATTTAATGCCACAGGGGCACTGGCCCCTGAGGTTTTGCCTCCTGAAGTGCCCCTGTCCTGTCTGTGCGCAGTTCCGTGTTCAAACATCAGAGGCGCTGACGAGGGTTAGTCCAGCCTGTCTCAAGCTTACAGAAGTCGTCTTTTCTTCTTCTGAAGATTTGAACAATCCTGCAGAAAAAGTCTTTCAGCTGACGAACGATGGCTGAATTCTCTCACATACTGTTTGAGAGTATTTTAACCATGCACAGTAAAAATACTTGTAAATTTGGTGAGGAGAGTTTACTGTGCAAGCTTTTTTCAAATGACATTACAAGTGTTTGAACATGTGACTGGTTAAACATCTTACCCAAACTAGGGATCTATGTGAAAGGTTGTTGAACAAATACTGATTTCAAGCCTGTTTGTTCTTTTGTCATTGACTCGTTACTGTTCAGGAGGTGATTTTTATTGATTTGGAGCGTTGCATTAAACCACCATAATCATTTAACTTTGTGTGTGTGTTTGTGTGTGTGTGTGTGTATGTGTGTGTGTGTGTGTGTGTGTGTGTGTGTGTGTGTGTAGATCATGCAGACAGTGTGGCCGGCTTGAAGAGCAGAGTTAAAGCAGCGAGAGACAAAAACAAAGACCTTCTCAAAGCTGTTAATGGAAGCATGACGACACTCAACGCCATTCCCAACGGTATGGTCTCAAAAATACATATTTTTGTGTGTGTTTGTCAGTGTGCTGGTACACAAACACAAGTGAGAAAATGAACGGATCAATACCAGTCTGCAGACAGAGGTCAGCTGTTCTGCTGCCTGATCAAGACGATTCAGATCTAAAATTGATGTCAACACTTTAAACTTGGAGTAAAAAAGCAAAAAAAAAAAGTCCTGCAACATGTTGAACATTTCTGTTAAATCTTTGTTTACCAGATACGTCTGCTAAACTAGCAGCTACGAAGGCCGTAGCAGCTGAGGCCAACGCCACCGCCATCGATGTCCTCAAGCGTCTCGGAGACTTGAACCTGCAGATCGGAGGTCTGCAGCAGAACTACAGCAAGCTGGAGGATACGGTCCAATCAGCCAATCAGATGATCCAGGACCCAGAGAAGAACAGTAATGAGCTTTATTTTCACAGCGTTGCATCGACTCGTGCATCACGAGTCTTATAAGCTGACGTTTTGACAGAGTAGATTTGTTTTTTCTGTCGTCACTAATTATAAAGTCAGAAATGAGCTTTCACAGTATTAATTAGTGAACTCAACTGATTTTATTTCTCTCTCTTTCTCTTTTTTTCAATCCCCACAGCAATCAGTATGTATACTTCACTTCCCTTAATGAAACATTCCTTGTTGGAAGTGGTGCATCAGTACCATGTTGTTGCAGCATTTTGTCGTTGGCGTTATAAATGAGTTGTTTTTCTTGTGAGCAAATGTTCAGTCCCTGGTTTAACACCATATTATTAACCTCACTGTGGTAATATGGCTTCTTTAAAACAATGCAGCAGTGGTATTGGTGCACCATGCACTAATTTGAAAGCTATCTCTAATAGCTTCACAGTAAGCAACAGCTGCTTTTAATAATGACTTCATTGAAAAGGAGCATGAAAGCTCAGCTCGCTGCAAAGCGTAGATCTTCTTCCTGATTTTTAAACTTCATTTATTTTTCCCTGTCTTTGCAATCCAATCTCAGTCCTGTCCAATTATACACTCCCATGAAATTGAAGCTGTTTTCTATGAATGCTAAGCTACACTAATTTGTTTGGCTCTCGTCGGCTTTTTCTTCTTTCTTGCGCCGGCGATGTATTTCTGTTTCCTCTCCGCAAGCTTTCCACTTCTTCTCAGCTGCAGTATTTCACTGAAATAACCTTTACCGTTCACGTCGTCTTCATTGTCCGTGATGTCTCTGTCCGTCCTGTAGTTCATGCAGCAGGGGCTAAAGTGAAGGCGTTGGAGGATGAAGCTGACAGACTTCTGGAGAAGCTGCAGCCAATCAAAAAGCTGCAGGACAATTTGAGACGCAACATTTCACAGATCAAAGAGCTGATCAACCAGGCCCGGAAACAAGCTAATTCAGTAAGACACTTATGTGACAAAGACTCCTAAAGTCTTAAAGTTTAACCCTTTTTTTACAACTTATTTTTATCTTATTAAGTGTTTGAAATAGTTTTATTTATCTTTTGTCTTTGGGACAAATCTCTGTGCTTCCATATTTTAGTATCACTGTAAAATATAAGGGAAGCAAGTTAATTACCTGTTTTTCACTAATATTCTTTATTCTGTGTTTCCAGATCAAAGTATCCGTGTCGTCAGGTGGTGAATGTCTCCGTAGTTATCGTCCTGATATCAGAAAAGGCAGATATAACACCATCATCCTCCATGTTAAAACCACCACACCTGATAACCTCCTCTTTTACCTGGGCTCGGTTAAATATGTAAGTTTATTTTTTTATTTAAAGATAGAGCGTGATGCAGAAATCATCACGTAACTCAACCATGTTGGATATCACCCTACAGATAATAAAACAGCCAATAAAACATTTAAGCAAAATCATCATCAACAACTTTGTTTATAAAGTGCTTTAACTCCAGCCACAGCTGAAACGTATGGAGATCCGTTACATTCAAAATGAAATAAATAAATAAATAAATTTGTATAGCACCTTTCAAAACTCAGTTACAAAGTGCTTTACATCCCAATAGAAACAAAACACATAAAAAACATAGCACAAAATAAAAATAAAACATGCAACGGTCAACAATTAAAAGCCAACTCAAACTAAAATGTTTTTAAAAGAGATTTAAAAGAGGGCAATGAAGAAGCTTTGTTATTAATAAAGTATTAATAAATATTCCATCAAATAAATAAATGTCCCTGTGAAATAAAACAAAATAAAAAATATATAATACATTTTTAGCATGTATTTAACATATTTATTTATTTATATATTTATTACACGTTGTAGTTTTATTTTGTGACACATTTATTTTGTAAAGCTACTTTACATATTTCAGGAACTTTTATTTTGAACTACCCTTTTATTTCATGCCGTTTTACTATTTCATACAGTTTTATTTCATGGTCCAATATGCAAATGAGGGGGCGGAGTTTTCTCTGTGGTTTTGGGATTCAGGAAATGATTTGTTTCACCAGCAGAGGGGGGATACTCTCCTGCCTGGCCTTTCTTCATAATTAAACATTCATTTTTATGAATAAAACTGACATATTGTACATAAATTAGTTGAATGACTGTCACTCTGTGATTAGAAAGACTTTGCAGAGATACTTATTTTGGCTTTTGGCCGAATAGCCCTGATTTTATGATTGGGATTCAAAATGGCGATCTTTTTCCGGGTTGGTCAGATCTTTGTTGGCCAAGCCGAATTGTTAAATATCTTTCCAAATGTAAGTTGTTCAAGTTTCGTGCAGCCAGCACCTTCCTGTTTCAAGTTATGACTAAAATTGTCTGTTTTCAAGTAGAGTTCTGTGCAGTGACTGAATGTCTGTTTATGTGCAGTCACTGCAGAGAACTCTACCAGAAAACAGACTGTTTTAATCATGAACATCAGTAATAAATAAATCAGATAAAAATAGCATAAAAAGCACAGACAGATCAGATCAATACCAATAGCAAATGTTTAATTACCTTTTTTTAATAATCAGTTACTCTAACCTTAAAGTTTTATCATAGTAGAACAGACGTCCATTTCAGCAGAGAAACAACGTGCGTACCCAAAGAGTCACCATGTTCTGTTCATGTCTGAAACCTGACAATAAACAAGTCGTCTCACTCAGCGACACGAACTGAGGGATTGCTACATCTTGACACAAACCCACCTCTTAAAACACAACAGGTACAACTGATAATCTCACAGTGTACGGTGTGTGTAGCGTGTGTGTGTGTGTGTGTGTGTGTTAAAGAGGAGCAGCAATTAACATGAAGCTTGTTCTGCTCTTAGCATCAACCTGATTTCCCCTGAGAAGTCATGAACATGTGTGTGTTGCTCACTGTTATGTATTAGTATAGTGTGTGTGTGTGTGTGTCTGTGTGTGGATACCTTTAAGATTTCACTAACGGTGAAATGCTAATTGAATAAGGACACTTTCCTGTGATCTGTGTTAATTACTAAGCACCTTTAACTCATTACACAGAGTTCCTGCTTAAAACAAAAAGCTTTATCAGGCAGTTTTCTATAAAATGTTATTAAAAGAAACATTTGCATCATTTGAAAAACAAACCCAGCTGTTGACTAGAGAAGTATTAGAATTTAAAACCACAATCTGTCCTCTTAACTCTGTGATTGATTTGATTTGATTTGATTTATTTATTTAACAGGAAAAGATTACAAAAAATCAAGCCTGACTCAGCATAATTGCTGTTTTACAGCAGGTTCCTGTTCTGCAGCACATAAAACACTCAGAATTACAGCATCACAATCACATCATTATACACCATAGACACAAAGACAAACAAGCATACCAAATTTCAAAAAGGCAGCATTTGCAAAATGGGACGTCTAAATATGAGCACAACAAAAAGTGTCCAGCAGATGGCAGACAAGATTCTTCTTAAAGGGCTGTAGTTTTGAAATGGACTTTATGTTTTGAGGAATGTCATTCCATGCTTTAGTATAAACATAGAAGAAAGAGGCCGTAACAGTTTTTAAAAGTTGGTAATATCAGTTGTCCTTTTGTAACAGATCTAGTTGAATGACCACTTCCAGAATTTGATTTGGCCTCAGAGAGGGATTATTTATTATTTCACACTCAGATCATGTTTAAAGCTCAGTGAATTTTGTACTTTCACAAGTTTATGTTAATAACTGTTGGCAACACGATGGATCAGTGGTTAGCACCGATGCCTCACAGCTAGAAGGTCCTGGGTTTGATCCCCAGTTTGGACCTGGGATCTTTTTGTGTGGAGTTTGCATGTTCTCCTCTCCGGGTTCTCTGGTTTCCCACACAACCCCTAAAACTTGTACACTAGGTTGCTTTCAGGCCCATGGGACTTGCCTGGTTAAATAACGGTAAAATAAAATTTAAAAAATGAAGCTTACAGTAGGCCTACTCATTCTATACTGATCTGCTGGTGGAGTAAATCAAGGAAAAACTTTTAAGCCTTCGAGTTTCTCCTTTGCTGCAAAATCTAAGCGTGTAAGCAGTCAACATTTTGTGCAACGTTCACGAGTTTCAAAATCAATATTTGTCACGTTGTCAAAACCTTACAGGTAAATGAAGTGTGTTTCCTGTCAGTCTTTACTTGGATCCGTTTATATGCTGTCCTCTGTGCCTCAGGTTGATTTCCTGGCCTTGGAGATGAGGAAAGGAAAAGTGAGTTTCCTTTGGGATGTGGGATCAGGTGTGGGGAGAGTTGAATATCCCCATCTCTCCATCCATGATGGGAACTGGCACCGGATAGAAGCGTCTCGGTAAGAAGGGTCACACAAAGGGGCACGAGTGGTCTTTCTCCACCACATGCATTCCCACTCAAGCCCTGAACCATGTTGGATAAATTACAAAGGATAATGGTAAAACTTTATAATAACTACACCTTATTAAGCCTTACTTAATCATTAATAAATGGTTAAATTTGAAAACATCAAGCATGAATAAACAATGAGTTTATTGGTTTTTATGGGTAAAGTATTAATAAATGTGTGAATTTTTAGCTTAGTAAGTATGAATAACCCCTAAGTAATGATGTTTTCAAGGTTAACTAAACATTTATTAATGATTAAATAAGGATTAATAAGGTGTAGTTATTATTAAGTGAAAATCCAAGTCACAATATTGAGACAATTACCACAAACAAAAACTCACCAACTCCTGTACTTTATTAATAAAGTTAGACAAAAATGTCATCATTAAAATATTATTTTTATTTCAGACTAATACCTCATAAAATAACTGGTATTTTGTTGTTTCCTTCATTCGAACATTAACAAATCACAAATAAGAGTTACAACAAGGTTAAACCATGAGCAACATTACTTTATCTGGTAAATGTTGCTGATGCTGGTAGAAAACACTTCTTTTTCCATCAGGGAAATCTAGAGTTTGCAGCCTTGTCAGCCTTTGACACATTATTACTTAGATCCACTGTAATCATTCTGCCCTTCCTCTCTGCCAGCTGAACTATTGTTGTTTACACACAATTCAACACAAGTCCCATTCACGTGAAAGTGGTGCCTCACCTGTTCCATGCATTTTCCATCACAGAGACTTCCCAAAGGTGTTTACTGATGAAATCACACAGCATATCAGTCCTAAAAAATGGTCCCCTACACGTTGTGAATATGTGCTTCCTGCCTTGAAAACAAACTTCAAGGCAGGTGGTTCGTTTCGCTGCACAGCTTGGAGGCTCAACAGACACAAACTGGCTCCACGCTGTGTTCCCATCAATCATTCTTTGTACCGAGAGTTGATAAAAAAAAAAGAATCTATTCTCTTCAGCCTTTAGAACTGTCCTCCAGAAAGTGCAGAATAACATACATCAAACATTTCCTTCTTTCTGTCGACTCCAGTAACGGTCTGAATGGGACCATATCAGTGTACCCTCTGGAAGGCTCTAAAGCTGGCATGATGCCAACCTCACCAAGCGCCAACTCACCCGCAGCGTTCACCATCCTGGACGTTGACCAGAACGCCTACCTGTTTGTAGGAGGAATATTCGGCACTGTCAAGGTATTTGTTAAAAACTGCATCACCCTGGTTGTTGTTGTCGTTTTTCTTTTTTTTTTTTGCCACTTCAGTAGAAAGCAGAACTGAATATCTGAATATTAGTATCTTAGCTTCTTCATCATCAGTGGCATTTTTTTAAAGAAGAAAAAGTAAGAGAAAAGTGAAATGCAATAGAAAAGAGTGGAAGAGAGATTAGAGGATATGTGTAATATATATAATGAAACCACAAGACAACACACCCAACATCTTGGCTGTACACCTACAGAAACAGAGATAACAAAAACACAGCAACAAAAATGCATATCTATATAATTTGATGATTATAGCCTTGCTGAAAGGTATACGTATATGTATATGTGTATATGTATATGTACAGTATATATGTATAAATGTATGTATATGTATATATATGTATATGTATATATATGTATATGTATGTATGTAT